TCTGATTATGCTGGAGACATGGATAATAGACGTTCTACAACAGGGTATGTTTTTACTCTTGGGGGTGGTCCTGTTTGCTGGAGATCATCAGTTCAGTCTATTGTAGCTTTGTCTACAACTAAAGCAGAATACATGGCTGTGACTGAGGCAGCTAAAGAGGCTTTGTGGCTTTCAGGTTTGATTAAGGAGTTGGGTATTGAGCAAGATGGAGTTCAATTACACTGTGACAATCAAAGTTCCATTTTCTTAGCTAAAAATCAAGTATACCATGCCAGAACCAAACATATTGATGTAAGTTTTCATAAGGTCAGAGAGTTGGTTGTTTCTGGTGAGATTTTGTTGCAGAAAATTCATACAAGTGAGAATGCAGCAGACATGTTGACCAAGGCGGTTACTAGTGACAAGTTCAAACATTGTTTGGACTTGTTGGGTGTTTCCAGATGTTAGATGAACATGGTGGTCCTATTCCAGGGAGACTATGAGATGAGTTTTTCATCCTAAAGGGCTTATTTGCGAAGGTGGAGATGGTTTGATAAGTATTTTCTCCGAAAGGACATATTCGCCAAGGTGGAGATTTGTTGAGTTATCTTTTCTCCGAGAGAGCATATTCGCCAAGGTGGAGATTTGTTGTGTTTGTCTCATATAAGGATTAGGAATATGAGTTTGTCTCATATAAGGAATAGGAGTGAAAGGGAGATTATATGCATATAAATATATTGAATGTATCTCATCACCTGGATCACCATCACAAATAATAAGAGAATACTTTCACTCCCGTGGATGTAGGCACATTGTCGAACCACATAAATCTTGTCTTCTTTACTGCCATTATTATTTTTCTGGTGCTGGTTAATCTCAACAGTTACCTAGTTGAGTAACTTTATAAGGGGTTGCGATCGAGATTATAACCGGTGTGGTACGTGTTTCGAGCTCAGAATAAGAAACAAAGTGATACATGATATGATTAATTTAGATGTTATTGGTTTGGAAGACAGAAGCGAATTATATCATATCAGTTTGCCCGAAACAAATGAGAGAATGAATTATATCATATCAATTTGCCTGAAGCAAACGAAGGAATAAATTATTTCATATCAGTTTGTCCGAAACAAATGAGGGAGTGAATTATATCATGTAAATTTGCACGAAGCAATTCCCAAACCAGTGAGTGAACTAATGTAAAGTTGAGGATAAGGATTTTTTGGAGATCCTGAAGATCTATTTTATTTGACAAGCTTCCAACTTCCTTATGATTGTTGTGTACCCGTATAATATCATTTGATATGTATGCTTTCATATCTGATTATATGTGTTACTCTTAGATGATTGCATATGTGTTTTGGGTACTTCATATATTGCGATGCACTTTTAAAGGCTTTAAATACCCACATGATTTTATAGTATAGCTTGAGCTAGTGCATCGCCTTGGCAATTATATATTTTCTTGTTGAGGACATCAGTTTTATATGTTATTGTTGTTATCACAATCTGGCCTGCTGCATATCATAAGTATTCCCCCTAACACCTAGTACGTGGTATAAAATCAAACATTTTCCATCTGCGTTTTATTCACAATGTGCAGCCTTTTTCCTATATCACCACCATAGCGTACATTGTGGGCATGTATATGTTGATTATGAACTTCCGTCTGATATTTAAATCTTTAGAGCCCATTATAAGGGATCAATATATAATTATGTACGTTGACTGCACACTTTATGAAGATCATTTCACGACATTAGGGGGAGATAAGAGCTCAAATTTTATAGAATGTCAAGAAATTCTATGAATGATTGATCTTCAATATTTGAATCCACGTACTAGGTTGACTGAACTAGAAGTTCATAAGAAGTAAACTGAAATGCAAGTTCAGAAGATAATTAATCTGCCAATATATATATACTGATAAAAAAAGTGATTTGGTCCCTTGTATCTTCCCGAACTTGGACCGTATGTATTTACCAATGCTCCTTGACACCAGAAGCATGGAGACATGTTGGTATAAAAGACAAGAATCCGCGGAAAGCTATATCTAGTAGAAAATTTCGTCACTCTTGAAATCGCTTAAAGAAGCTAAGTATGTCCTGCAGATATTCGTCCAGAAGACATTCATCTGGAATGCGAAAAATTCCAATAAAATTATAGGTGCACCCAAAATCATAATACTAGGGATGCGGAACGACCAGATAAAAATATCTTTGGGAAATGGCTAGAGTCTGGTTGAATTAGAAATGGCCATTATTTTATATATATGGGAGAAATTTATGAAAAATGTTATAGTTGTCGACAACACAATTGCCTTATAAATTGCTCTTAGTAAATGAGAATCTGGATCCAGAGCTAGGCACAGTAGTGCCCTGATTTATTTTTTTTTATGTATAAAAGGGCAATTAAGGCATATATAGCTCAACTCGCTAAAACTGCATTATAAATACAATAATAAAAAAATTAAAAAAAAAAAAAAAAAAAAAAAAAAAAAAAATATTTATCAATGTCTCATAAAATGCATTACGTTCCGCTAATTAACATCATTGGCAGTGAATTATAAATTTAGATATGCAGTTGATGAGTATCATGACCGCAAACTAATTACTGGTCATTAGACACTAATATTTATTTGTAAATCCCTGATGGATTCAACACTTTTGAAATTAGGAAAGTGAAAATGGCAACGAGTATCATTAAACTACTAAAGTCTTTGTATGACTTGAATATTATTGACTGAGTGTTTTCCTCCCGAAGAAGGAATATGCAAATATGTACCATTATGTGTTCGTTAAAGAATTGTTAATGGAGTTATTTGTTTATTATCTCAGTTGGTAATGATGATTTAAATGTTATTGAAACACATAGAGAGCTTGGTGATGTCAGCTCATGTCGAAAGACGAAGTTTTGAAATAAAAGACTTGGAAATCCAAGTATTGTCTCGACCTGAAGATCGAGCTTCTCCTTGAAGAAGTTTTATACACCAGTTAGCTTACTTGAAAAATATCTTGAAGATGTTTTATATAGACAAGTAGTATTTATTTATCACACAAACGGTTGCCCAATAATCTCTTGAAGTAGATAAATGACCATTTAGACATGAAGATTATAATGAGGATATTTAAGGACTGGAAGTCCATTACTTCATTACTTTTGGAGCACTATTATTGAACTAGAAGTTCCATAATCGCATCAGGCTTGATATTGAATTTGCGATGAAATTGCTAGCAACATTTAGTGTTCCCCCCCTACAATGAAAATTGGAATGGTATTTTAACATATCCTTCAGCACCTTCGAGGTACAAAGTTTTTGACGTTTATGTGAGAAACCCATATGTGGTCTTGATGGGCTACTTGAGCACTGGTTCTTTTATTTGATCCCTATGATGCCAAGTCCAAAACTGGTTATGTTATATTTTTAACCCCAATGCCCCATATGAGGACAAATAAGATTGTGTTGCACAAGCAAGTAATAATTTTTTTAAGGGGAACCTTACAAAACATGTTGCACCTAAGTCCTTCTACACACACGAACTCTAGAAGAGTTGTAAAATTCTTGTTGAGAATGTTTGCCTCACTGAACAATCTTGCATATATGTTCACTATGTCTCTGCCTAAAATTGGGATGCGTAGGCTTAGAAGAATGTTATCTTCAGGGGGAGCGACAACCCCTAGCTGTGCTAAAATGGAAAATCTAGAGGACTTTTGATATCTTGAAGATTATGCTACGAAAGCATATGGTTGTACTTTTTTTCCCTTAGCTAAGTTTTTCCCACTGGGTTTTCTCAAGCTAAGGTTTTTTCCCTTAGCTAAGTTTTCCCCCCAGGGTTTTCTCAAGCTAAGGTTTTTAATGAGGCAACCGATGTCGGTGCACTTGAGTGAATAGTCCTGAAGACTCTTGAAATCTTGGAGATTATGCCCAGAAGGCTTATGGTTGTACTCTTTTCCTTGGCTAGCTAAGTTTTTTCCCACTGGATTTTTTCTTAGGCTAAGGTTTTTAATGAGGCAACCGATGCAACACATGGATCAACATACTTCGTGTACTCTTTTCCTCGTCTAGGTTTTTCTAGCGAGGTTTTTAACGAGGCATGAGTATAATTATTTAATGGCCAAGGGGAAGTGTTATAAATATTTTATTATTATGACCATTAAACTTGTGACCTTTTGTTAGCCTTTACTTATTTCATTACTTATGTTAAAGGATGTGAAAGGTTGTAATCATCCCTATAAATTGAGGGTGAAAGCTTAATGAAAAGATAGTCTCATGTGATTGTGTTCTATACATTGTGTTCTTCCTCCCCTTTTACTTATCTATTCTATATACTCATATACATACAATCTCCAAGCATTACCGTGCAAACATCACGCGAGAACCAACGAGTTGATAGGGCGAATTACAACAGAAAAAATGTATTCTATAATTCTATTGAAGCATATTCCTAATTTACCTGTTCCATCATATCAAAACTTCAAACTAGAATAATGAGACTCAGGAGAGGGTTTACTAGTTTTGTGTAATTTACTAGCTATTATACATAAATAAAATTTATTGTGCATATACCTTTAATTAGTGGTCGTGCATTTTTCTTATAGAATAGTGAGACCATGCAATCCATATCTAGCCAATTCGATAAAAAAATTGGAAAATTACTTTGACAACATGATATTCTGTATATACTAACAAAAAAATTATTTTTCTTTTAAAATGGTTTTTTGTTTTTTAATAATTCGTAGGTGGTCCCTTATTTTCACCTTAATTACGATTGTAGGTGGAAATAAGTCGATAAATTAAAATAAATAATATATATATATATATCAACAAAAATAGGGATTTATAATTTTAGCAAAAATAATGTGAGAAATAAATACTTCAATTCGTATCATGTGAGAAATACTAATCCAACAATTGTTTGCACATGAAGTTCAGCAAGAATCCCAAAAATGGGCATTATATTGTTTTCTCAAACCTTTAGCTTCAAATAAACTAAAGGGATTGCCTCGCCCCCTTGCAAAGTTACATATCCGTAGTGTAATGGACAACCTTACTAATATATAAAAATGAAATATTAATCCTGTGAATTGAAGCACTCATTTTTCCCAAGCATATCAGACCACGCTTGTCAACTACTCCAAAGAAAACACATTGTCCATGGTCCCGTACATTCTAACTTCTTCTGGAAATTCCTCAACTCCACCCAAATCAAATTGTCTCCAAACCTCAGTGTTCAAATTACAAATCAAAATGGAAAGCCGTTCACTATTCATAAATAACAACACAATCTCCCCATCATGATTTGTAGTATGACGCAGGAATGTGCTCCTAAGTCCCTCTTCTAATGGAATGGTCATAGTAATGTTCTCCCAGCATTCCTTAGATTTCTCCCAAGTCCAAACATCCATGTAGAATTCTCTTGGGCGAACACGAACCATAGCCAGTCGACCTCCATCAACTTGTAGAAATGCAAAATTTTGGTTAAGAAAGTGATTTTTTTCCCAAGCTGAAGATAAAACTACATAATATTCCCATAATGATGATAGTTCAGTTGGAAATGGTATCAAAAAATAAGTCTCAGACCCAACTTCAAATGCTACTATGTGGAAGCTAGGACAATCAACTTTAGTGAGCCAATTATAGAAATAGATAACGCCGTCAATGTAGACACTAGTATCATAGCAGAAGTTAAAGCAGGCATAGTCATCAAAGGGGTAGAAGGGGTAGGAAAAGGGGTAGTTGATCTCCCTCCATGATTTGTCCACTCCCACAGTCAAAACCCAATGCTTATACTCGAAGCGGATGGGCGTGCTGCCTCGATCAATCATACAGGCTGACATCAAAACCTTGTATCTTTTAGATTGTGAATCAAACCCCAACTGTGCACAGGATAAAGATGGATGGGGGAAGTGGAATTGGATTGTCGGAAGGGAAATACGTTGTCCCGTGCAAACGTTGCAAACAACGACGTCTCCATTGGGTCTGGACATACAAATCAGGCCATCCGAGGAGGAGTGTAGACAGCCTTCCAGAAATGGTTCAGCGTCCAAGTAGCCGAGACGGTTGGCTTGGAGCATTCCCGGCTGCCCTTGGCTGAAATTTATGGTGTAATACACATGGGAGGAACGGGAGGAGAGCCGCTTTGGCTGTATGATAGCGATGAGGATGCCCGCCCTAGTGGGAAGTGTCAAGGACAAGCTGCGATGCAGAACGCCAAAGCCATGGTCGGCTATGAGAGCGCAAAAGAATTTAGAAACGCACCTGAATCGTACTAGCGATTTAGCGGGGAGCTTGGAGAGGATTCCGACGAGAATATCTTGGGGAAGAAGAAGAGGTTGCGTCTTCTCCGATGCGCCGCCCATCGTATCCTACAAGCTGATCGAAGGTTTGCAGGAGTTTTAGGGATTTTCAAGAATGAGTTGAGTTGTATTTAAGGTAAAATTGTATTCTCCCTCTCCTCCTGATTGCGAATTTTATGCAACTAACCATTGTTGGACTCTAAATTTAAGATTTCATAATTAAATGAGGGATTAGAGCAAAAAGAAATTAATTCTATATATACTAGTATTTTCGCCTATGCGTTGCACGGAATGAATTTGTTAAAATATTTTAATAATATTTGGATCAATATATAATTATATAAATTATTACATCGAATATTATATAATGCAATTGAAGAATTGAGTTGGATCGATTGTATTTTTATGATGTTATCATTGCATGAATTTGATCAAAAAATTGTCCAATTAATAGTCAATGTGTAGATGTACGCATCCGTAGTCAATGGGTAGATATACGCATCTGGTGCTAAAACTTTAGAGATTTTAAATATCAGTGTTCAATGAATTATATATGGGGATCATATTTAATTTCCTTACACATTCTACACATAATTACACATCTTTATATATACCCATTGTAATGAGGTCCCATGATTTTGGATAAAGATATGTTACAAAATCAGTCATAATTAATTTCTTTTGAATCATTCATACGTATTGCAAGAACATTTCCATCTTTAATTACACAATTTTCCTTATAAATTGTGGATACTAAACGATTCTATTCATTTTTTTCCATTTATAAATATAATATATATCTTTATATAACTATATTTCCAGTAACATATATATATACAGAATTTTTCAAATATTTCAAGTAACTTTACATTTTATAAAATATATAACCGAGATTAATATTTTTTTCATCCCGGCTAAACCTTATTTTTTGTTGACATACTCGGCTAAACCTTATAATTACACAATCATTATATTCTTAGTATAAAATAACATTTGGTGTAAAAATTATTAATTTCCATCTCGATTAATATTCATTCAAATTTTGGCTAAACCTTATATTTCCATTTCGTATTTGCAAAACCTTTTCCATCTTTAATTACAAAATTTTCCTTATAAATTGTTGATACTAAATGATTCTATTCCATTTTTCATTTTTAAATATATATCTTTACATAATCATATTTCTGCAACATATATATACAATTTTTTTATATATATATTTCCAGTAACTTTGTTGGTCCCGGTAGGGTCAAAAGAGACTCTAGAGGGGGGGGGGGGGTGAATAGACTCTAATCGATTTTTCAAAGTTGGTCATTTTGGAACGATGCACAACGGAATTAAGGTTTCGTCTTAGATATATGCTTTGCACAATTTTGTAAGAAACTTTTAATGCACAACGGAATTAATGCTCCTTGTCTTTTGTGAAAATCATTCCTATGACACCTTTTGTCCGAATGATTGCGCATTCATGAGACAACATTCTTCTTTCTTTATTTTTAATGAAGGTTGTCTTTACAAGTTTATCTGAAACTTGTTTTCTCGGAGAAGATCTTCGAAAGATTGTCCTTATCTTTTGACTTATGATGAGATCCATTTTGTGGAGAGATGTCTATCCGAGAGTTGCTCAATCCATCTTTCGTCTGCAATCATCTTTTCGACCATCTTGTTATCTTTGTGTTTTCAAGTAGACCTATTATGCTAGTTGATGATGACGGTTTTCACACATCCATCAAGTATCAAATCACAGTATAGAGTTTAGATATCGTTCCACTGGAGATGGCTCTTGTAATGTTAGGAATTGATTGCAAAGCGGAGTTAAGCACAAGCTAGAACTATTCTTTTAGAAGTTAGACCTATTGGTAAGGAGTTGGTTTGATATGATTATACTAATAACAAATAGAACAAGTAAAACAAAAGACCGGGATTTGATTGATTCAAGCTAAGATGCTAAATATTGTACTAAGGTTTAGGGAATTAAATCAAGACATAGGGTAAGTGAGATGCACAAAAGTGTCCAAATACTGTTGGAAAAAATAGCTTAAAATGGCATAAAATGGCATATTAAGTGGCTATTTTGTGGTACAATTATCAGTGGGGTCCACTTCCGATTTGGGTCGGGTCAAAGTGGATTCGGGTTCTTCGTAGTGAGATGAAGAGATTGATATATTGTACGCTCAAAACGGATAATGGGTGAATGAGATATTGATTCTTAAAGTAGACCCATTTGAGTTGGAAAATAAAGGGAAAAAGTGAGCTTTTGTCCCACATTGGTTTGGGAAGAGGATTTGCCCCACTATTTATACATGAGCTCTTGTTAAGCTTATTGAATTGTATAGCATAGAGGCTCTCTCTTGTGCGAAGGGAGAGTGCAAATCAAATCCCAATGAACTTTGATGTTCATTGTGTTGTTATACTATTGTTGTTATTAGTTTCGGCCAAAGTGGCCGAAATTTATTGAAACAAGTAGTTTCAAGGTTTCGGCCACATGTGAATTGCAGTGGCCGAAACTGTGCACTGTTGGGATTTAATTCGGCTGTTATGGAATTAATTTTGAATTAATTTCAATTTCAATTTTTGAATTAAAACCTAAGTAAATGGTGGATGTTACAAGAGTTGTAGGGATGCCCCTAAATGCCATAATAAAGGCTATTCACTCCTCACTCCCTATATAAGAAGGGGTAGAGTGCAGCAGAATTTTTACTAAGGAAAAAGTAACAAGAACACACAAGAAAAATATTTTTTCCAAGCCTCAAAATACTTCTGCTTCTACTCCATTCTTGAAGCTGTGTTTTGCCCGTGCTCTCGTTCGCCGGGTTCGTTCGTTTGGGTGCTCAAACGTCGAACCGTTGTACGTTTTATCCTGGGAGACCTAGGCCACAACGCTCCTAGCACTTTTGGGAGGTGGCAATTAAGGTTTTAAGGAAAGAAAGACACCTTGCCTAACTCGTACATTTCTTTCTTCCTTCTCCTTCTTTCTTGTTTTGGATTATGCTTTTAAGCAAAAATCCGTTCTTTCTTGTTAATTTGGAATTATAATCTAAGGATTATATTTTCTTTTTGGTTGATATATATTGGTATATCTTTTTCGTAGATATACATTTATATATAACCGTTGGGTCCGTCTTATATACATTTGTGTGTATATATATATTTCGGATATATATATCCAATAATATTTTATATATATTTCGTGTGTATATATATAAATATTATTTTACGGATATTAAATCGATTGTGGTTCATTATCACCAACAATCTTAAAACCTTATATACTTTTGATAATGAACAAGTCGATGGATTCCAAAAGTGTTGGATCCGTGAATGTTGCTCGTGGTGCACATTCAAATGGTCGGAACGGCAACGATGTTGCACATTCCGTGATGCCAGTTGATGGCAGCAACGTTGGAAATAATATTTCCATGGGAGTTGCAAAAACACACGATGGTGCTCCAGAGAACTTTGGTTCACGATCCGGTAGACCTGTGGCTAATGGCACACAATTGGTACCTATTGTGTTGTCTAGTGGATCGGCTAAAAGCCACGAAGGATCCTATGATGGTGTAATGACTACATGGTCTGAGGACTATGGTAGTGTTACAAATGACTTCAACCGTAATCGAAGGAAACTCAAGCGGAAGCTTAGCTTTCAAGAAGATTATGAGAAGAAGGAGAAATGCCACTATGAAGCGAATCGTCATCCTGGTGAAAAGGTTGAGGACAACTTCGCTATGTTTCAAACATGTGGATGGTTGGACGAGTGAGGTCACAACCGAGGTACCCCCGATGTGCGCAATGGACCACCCTTTGTGGAGTGGACGGTTGAGAATGGAACAAGGCACACGGGTTTGAAGGATCACTACGAGATAGGAATAAGGAAATATGTTTCCAATGTATTTTCCTATTTATTTATTTTGAATAAATGTTGTAGTATCCTTGGAATATTTTTATTTGAATAAAAAAATATAATTGTTCCATTGAGTTGAATCTTGGTACATACGAATTATTAACTAGAATAATGTCAAATGTATGAAATGATTCAATATGGGTGCGTAGTGCATCACGGGGCATTATGTGGAAAATGCTAAAATGGCTTAACGGCCAAAATGAAATGTAACAAGCGTGTTACATGTTGAAATCCCGTAACGAACTTCGGTTCAGGTTCATGTAGAACGATACGGATTTCAAGGATCAATTTGTCAAAAATTGGGATAGCTATATAATCGTGAGCGTCACAGCTCAATTGTTGAATATTTTAATTAATATTCTGAGAACGATTATATAAGCTTGATTCAACTAGTCGGAAAATTTGGTTGATTTGTTCTCGTTAATTGTGTGATAATTAACTTGATCAAAAATTCCAAATTATACTAGTATATTTAATTTGAGACAAATTGTGTTTTGGTGAATAGTGCTTTTGTAGCACTAATAGAAAGTGTAACTTGGCACTTTGAAGTGCAAATTAAAACACTGTAACAGTGCTATTAAGCACAAGGTAGAGTGCTTAATTAGGCACTTTCGGCCACTTCGTGGCTGCACCTTTAGGTGTTGAAAACTTAAGCATTTGTGCTTTGGTAATAGCAATAAAGGTGCTAGATTATGATTGGTCTTAATGCTAATCTACTTAGCTTAAACCATTCGTATGTGGCTAATTAAATTTAGCATTGTAAAAGTGCTATGTGATTAGCACGAAAGGAGGTTTGGTTAATTGTGTAAATAACTAATAATCCTTGTGCTAGGTAGCACTGGAATTATAAATTAAGCAACCGAATGTTGCTATGAGTTTATAATTTAAAGCAATAGAGATTGCTTTGGAATCGGCGCCTTAGTTTGGTAGCAATGATTCATGCTTGGTATAGCATGATTCGTGCCTCATTACTAAGCACTAATTCGTGCTTCAATTTCGGAAGCACTGATTTGGGTTTGTGGCCTTTCGGTCAAAATCGAATGGATTCGTAAGTGCTGATCTGTTCGCACTAACGAGATGTGCTAATGTGCAGCACATGTTTATTCTTTATAAGAATTAAAA